GAATCAGTCAATTGAACAGTCCACTTGGGAGAATGAGGCTGATATGCAAGAAAGATATCCATATCTTTTTACAGATTTAGGTACTCTTTCTCGCACTTTCTTTTCTTCTTGTGATCGTTCGGGGAAGAACGATGGGTAAATTGGTATCTATTGTAATGACCTGTTTAGTCGGTTTGAGCAGTAGAACTATTTTTGATAAAATTTGACTGGGCCGATGGATCACACGACGGACCGTGATGGACTTCGTCGTCCCATACTTGTGTAAATTCTTCTTCTTCTCTCCTCATTACCCTCGATGACAGGTAGGACGAGCCGTCATAGGCACGACGGTCCGTCAAGGGTCTTCGTTCCGAAACACTTCAACTCTGAAATCTGGGTACTGGGATCAACTCTCTGAACTTTGTGACAGACCTAGGACGGACTGTCGTAGATACGACGGACCATCACAAGCTTCACTACTGAATTTAACTCTCTGAACTTTGTGACGGACCTGCAGCACGGACCCTCGTAGACACGAGGACTGTCACAAGCGGCGTAACCCCGACTGGGTCGGATTTTTGCTAAAAGTTTTGAAGGGGTATTTTGGAATATTTATGATTATAACTATGGAATTAGTGGGGTAAGTTTAATAATTTATTTACTTGGGGGTTAAAGAAGTTAATAAGGGAATAAATATTGGGTTACTTTTATCATCTTTTATAATGGATTATATGATAATTGGGGTAAAAGAAAAAGAATCTGGAGAAGAAAAATAAAAAGAATGAGAGGGAGAACGAGCAAGAAAAAGGGAACGAAGAGGAAAGCAAAAGCATTGGGAAGGTTCTTGCTTGATCATGATTCTTCGGTGGAGGTAGGTTATGGTTTATTTCTATGTGATAGATAAACTCTAAATAGCGATCGATATGTATTGGGTGGTATTGTAAAGTCTTCTATATGCTTGATTGTGTGTTTGTATGTTGTGATTGTGTAATTGTGGTGGTCAGAATGATGAGACTGTTGAATCTTCAATCTTAAATCCTCTCTATTAAGATGGCGCCTTGATATAAAGAAGGCTTGATGAACTAAAATACTGAGATAAATGGATCGTAGTGTCACGTTCCGACACGGTAGTATTAGGGGATCGGAGTGTCACGTTCGTACACGGTAGCATTAGGGGATTGGATGTCACATTCCGACACGGTAGTATTAGGGGATCGAGTGTCACGTTTCGACACGGTAGCATTAGGGGATCGGGTGTCATGTTCCGACACGGTAGTATTAGGGGATCGGAGTGTCACGTTCTGACATGGTAGTATTAGGGGATCGGGTGTCACGTTCCGACACGATAAGGATAAAGAGAATGAATATTTAACTAGGTTAATG